ATATATATATAAATACATATATGTATATATCTACATTTATATACATATATATAGATATACATATATATATATATATATATTTATGTATAGATTTACATATATATATATTTCTAGCTAGCTTTTTGTGTACTTGTTTGTATATATATATATGCATGCATATATATATATATATACATATATACATATATATATTATATATTTCTAGCAAACTTTTTGTGCATTTGTTTGTTAGGTGCGTCGGCACACAGCGAATTTCAACATAATTGAGACAAACGAAGACAGATGGATGGTCTTCAAAGCATGCATCAAAGCAGCAGATTTAGCGCATGCAGCTACGAGCTGGGAGCAGCATAAACAGTGGTCGGAAAGATTAGCAGAAGAATTCTATCTACAGGTTTGCTAGGGTTTAGGGTTTAGGGTTTAGGGTCTAGGGTTTGATATGTTTAGGGTTTTGTGGGTTAAAGGCAATTCAGGCGTTTAGTTTAGGGTTTAGGGTTTAGGGTTTTAGGGTTTAGGGTTTTAGGGTTTAGGGTTGTTTAGGGTTTAGGGTTGTTTAGGGTTTAGGGTTTAGGGTTTAGGGTTTGTGTTTCAGGGAGATGAGGAGAAGCGTTTGGGTTTGCCTGTCTCAAATCTTTGTGATCGTCTTCGTAAGCACGAGTTCAGTCGCTCTCAGGTATGTTTAGGGTTTAGGGTTTAGGGTTCAGGGTTGAATGTTTAAGATTTAGAGTTTAGGGTTTAGGGTTTAGGGTTGAATGTTTAAGATTTAGAGTTTAGAGTTTAGGGTTTAGGGTGTTACGGCTGTACCGTTCCAGCTCTAGAGTTTAGGGTTTAGGGTTTAGGGTTTAGGGTTTAGGGTTTGTGGTTTGTGGTGTATGTGCAGTCCGGGTTTTTAAAAGTATTAGTAGAGCCTCTCTTTACAGAGGTTTGCGCAGTTGTTGTAAATACTGAAGCAAAAAATCGTCAGAACAAAATTTGTTGTAACATCAAACAAAACAAAGAAAATTGGGAGTTCTTCGAGCAAACAAGAGTAGCAGCAGAGAGAGATCAATCAAACCCTTAATGCATGCATGCATGCACGCATAAATGCATGCATGCATGCATGCATGCATGCATATTTGCATGCATGCATGCAGAAGAAACAAAAAAGAGATCATTCATATCCTTAGTGCGCTCATTATATTAGTGCATGCATGCATGCATGCATGCATGCATGCATGCATGCATGCATTTATTAATGCATGCATGCATGCAACAGATATGTGTGCATGCATGCATGCATGCATGCATGCATATATGGATGTAGTTGATATTTATTTCGTGTTGAGTTGATGTAAAATGATTTATATTATTTTGTGTTTAAATGCAGGCGAGGAAATATGAATATAAATAAAATAAATAAATAAATAAATAAATAAATAAATACGCATACGTTTATGCTCTACTGCATGCATGCATGCATGCATGCATGCATGCATGCATGCAAAAGTAAAGGAGTTGTCTGCTTTTGTGCATGCGGCAGCAGCACAAAGCAGCACCCAACCGCCAGGGTTTGCTGCGACAGCTAGCTAGCTACCTAGCTAGCTAGCTGCGCAGCTAGCTAGCTACCTAGAGAGAGATAGCTAGCTAGCTAGATAGATAGCTAGCTAGCTGGCTAGATAGCTAGCTGTCTAGCTCGATAGCTAGCTAGCTAGCTAGCTATCTCCTTCATTTCGTACACGTTATAACTGCTGATGTCTCTGTCTTTTTTATTCTGATGCCGCAGCAGCGAATGCAGCAGCAGCCACAGCAGCAACAGCAACAGCAGCAGCAGCAGCAGCAGCAACAACAAC